TATTAGAGTTTTCAATAGCGAATAGTCATTGCTACCAGTTTGCAGCATCGGCGGCGGCGATGGTCACTTGTACACCAGGTACTACTACTTTCTTCATCCTTTTTTCTATTTTTCCCTTTCGTTATGTGTGTATGGAGTAAGTTTCTTTGTATAAGAAAATTAAATTGTGAATGACGAGCTTAGACATAAATCTGGACGATAGAGTTCGTTGGAGTTTCCGCTCCGTTAGTTTAGCCGATTGAGAAGTCTGTCTAACGCCACTCCAATTCTGTTTTTATTTCCTTAGGAGGCAATTCAACAGTCGAAACTGTGATATATTAATGAAACTCTGCCTTCGTACATAGTAAAAACCTTATAGGACTAAGAACAGTCTGTGTGCAAGAACGAAGGTTTACAATTTCGCTCCACGCGATGATTGCCAGAAGTAACTGATCTAGTAATAAGTGGTGGCTGGTCGCTCGCAATGTTTATACACATCAAGAGTCTCTCCGGTTGCTGATCCTTTGGTTCCGAATACCGTGTGCCGTCTTTCGTTTCTAGAGCACGGTAGTGAAGATAAGTACCTTGGTTTTAACTTTACCATACGGTCGATCGTCACAAAACTAACAGAGAAGTTCGAGTCAGTTTTTTGGATTTCGACTCGCATTTTTGCTTCAAGTGTGAGTAAGTTTGTTCAATTTGGTGATTAAGTGGTTAGTGAAATTCTTTGGCTTTCCACGCGATCTATATTGAATTCCAGAGATGACTTTGCTATCTAATTGACTAAGTTCTTATTAAACTCTCACGGTTCGTCTCCTCACCAATCGGTTTATCAAGACTTTTTCCTCATGTGACATGGCATCTAGAAACCGAGATGCCTCTTTTTCTTTTAGTCTTCCGTGCGAATTGGCATTTCAATTCGGTTGTTTCTTTCTTTTCATCCCATACATCAAAATCGAAACAAAGGTTTATGAATAACATTATGTTTTGTTCTCTTTCTCGCATTATTACCGCCCCTTCTAGCGGTCCAAGTTTTAGTTAGCTGTTCATGCTATGTACATGCATAGGTGACTATACGCACCATAAGATTTAAATTTATTCTCTTAGAGTTCCTGTACTACATTTGTCCCTGGTCAACATAATGGTTCAGTGCAATGCGTAATAGTAGTTCGTACTTACTCGAATAGTTGTAATCATCTTCACCGGCTCCCCTACCGTGGTATGAGGTTAGGTTAGCTAGTGTCAAAGTTGCTAAGGAAATCTATGCTCTAAGTATCAGCGATTAGAAGCACTTTCACGTGGAAACTATACCGTATATATTACCAACATAGGAACTTTGAATTAGAAAGAAGGATTCTGGTTTCTTAGGGAATGAATTATAATTGCTTGGACAGTCTATCACTCCCGTCATTGTTTTCTCCATTACAGTGTTTGGCCAAGAGGATATTCAAAGCTACCTCTTGGGAACTGCCTGTCATTGTATTTCCTAGACGTATTTATGAAACCATAGAGACTCAGAGATCTGTATGCAATTACATATCGTCGATTAGCCCACCTTCGACATCTTGAGAGTGCAAGGTAAATCATGAGACCTATATTTAGGTTCAAGGTGTTCCACGCGAGTGAGAGGGGCGACACCTTTCTCACCCAATGTCAAACAACCTACCTTGAGTATATTAGAAAAGACGTCTAATGCTTGGAATTTCACTGTAAGTCCTCGAACATGTTTGGAATTTCTCAATCAAGATACCTCCTGACTTGTAGGTAAGTATATCGTGTTAAAAGACATGCAACTTATTAAGTAATCTAAAATAGCAGCACATGAATTGTTTCGTCCCATCGAATTCAATATATTTTTTATAATTTACATTCGTATTGGACATATTGGTATATTTCCATCTCGACAGCCCTGTTAAGAGAGAGAAGATTTGTTAGCACTAATTAATTCTGAAATCTTGCTATTTTCAGGTGACGATCTTGCTCCCACAATCGGAGGGATCCACCGGAGGCATCTTGTAATTAGTTACAGGTACGTTAAATAAATTCAGAGCTAAACAATGTTATGTTCATACGTGAAATCAATTTGAAAACAGATGAAAAAACTTAAATTGAGGAGAATAGAACTGCCAGTATTACTGACTAAAAAGAAACTCATACATTCTTATTCTACTTCCTATTGTTACCCTTCCGAACTTACTTTTGGGAACAAAACTTGAGTTTGAAAAAATGTTCTTGAAATTGTTTTATTAAAAATATCCTTCAATTTTGTGCTTTCTTATAAAATTATTCAATAATAAATAAATAAGTCTAAAAAGATAAGCAGAAAACTTAAAAAATACTAAAAATTAACTTTATCCTTAGTTTTGTTTTGTATGGAGAGATGTTTCAAAAATACATTTGAAATTTCAAAATGGTTTGAAAAATATACTTTAAATAATAGTGTTCCAAAAAATTGTAATTGAATTATAAAAGTTTCATTAAAACCCTAAATTTTTTTAAAAAAGAAAGTTTTAAAATACTATTAATCTTTTTTTAAAACCTAAAAAACAACTTTAAACTATTTAAAAATATTTAAAAATACTTTTATAGCTAGATCATATTTAAAAAATATTTATAAACTTTTCAAAATAACATTAAAATGTTTGTATTTAATCTATGAAGTATCGATAGACATTTTAATCTATATATTGACGATAAGAAATATTTTAATTTGCTTTCTTTTTACCCAAATAAATAATGTTATTGCTACTTTTAAATTTTTTTAATTATTTTTCAAACCGACGTACTCTTAATAATAAATATATTTTTTATTCTTTTTTTAATAAAATTTGAAGAGTATTAATAAAATATATTTAAAATTTAATAATATTTTTTAAACAAAATATTAGCCATTTTTATTCAAAACTAGAATATTTTTATTAATTTAGTAAAAAAAAATTAAATTACACAAGAAACCTTTTTTTTTATAACTTAAGTTATTGTTCCAAATAAGTCTTTTTAAGTAACCAATTTTTTGTTGGAACAATCTAATAGTAGTTTTGAAATCCTCACAAAAATTTATTAGAAGGAACCACAAGTTATTTCAGATAGGAAACAAACATTTGAGTTTGTTATTAACCATCTCCTTTACGCCTTTGAATAAAAACTTTATGAAAATATTTTTAGTTAATTATTTTTGGGATTGTAACGGTTTCTTCTTTTTCTAATATAGTTTTGTCTCGTGATTGAACAGAAACGCAACATTTACAAATAACTCGTTTGAAGTCGTATATGATAAAATAAAAATTGCCTAGAAATTATTTTTATGCCTGTCAAGTAACCAAAACTAGTAGACTCCATATGATCACTGTGCTGAAATGAAATTTAAGGGAAAATAAAAGAAAGTCGGATATGTTCATGACTCAGTTAGCTGGAGTAAGGAGTTAATCAATTATTATTAGATCTGGCCATCCCCTTCAATTATTGTAGCAACCGGCCGTTGATATTTGTGAAACAAGCTCAAATTCCTCAACGATTGTTTGAATTTCGGTTATAGGTGAGGGTATACACATTATTCTCTTGCTAAATTAGAAATGGCATGTTGTTTTTTAGGGCAAGAAGACTTGGAAGTAACTACCAATAAGTAAAAGAAATTCTTACTCATGGAATTCTCGAGTTCCTGACAGATTGAATGCTCAACTTTTTTTAGCATGATTGATGTGGTATAACTATGCTTTGAAATCGTATGGAGCAAAATCTCCAAATAATAGAAGTGATTAATTTTATTTGAGAACTTTGATTGCGTATAGTTTATATACTCCACTTCATATAATTTCATGTTGCTTCTTATTATATTGCTTCTTATTATATATGAATTCCGAATGGGTATGGAATTGTGATTATGGCCTCATAATTTCATTTTTCAGGGTGTTGGGGAGCGATATTCTCACTGGAATGAGACCACGAATGGGAATGGAATGAAACCAAAAATAGTAAGATTCTAATAAATTGTTTACTAATATTTGGAATAGAGGTTGAACTTTTATGAGTGTGGTAAAACGTGAATGCCACATTCTAACATGTCAAGGGAAGGAAGGAAGTAGTTGTTTAGTTTGTTAAAGGATCTTTTGGTCGAATGTGTAGACGGAAGCAACAACTACCCACCAACCAACTGCCCATTCTCTTGTGCGGAAAGACGCTTCCTGACCAATCTCAGTTCCCCATATTCCTTCCAGGTATGTATCTCTATATATATAATATTTCATCATTTAATACCATTTTTTGTTTAAGTTTTATGCATTAACATAACATATGACCACCAGCACACCGCACACGCATACTTCACTTCACGATGTTCTTACCTCATTATTATATTTCCACCAAATTCAAACTAAATAATGAACGTAATCTCTTTCAAAACTCAAAATTAGGTAGCCCACATATTTATTTAACCACTAGTTCTAACTATTGGCTTCTGGGAAACCATTATTGTGCCCACGACTGGAAATATAGTTCTATATTGCTAGCCGCCTGCACTACCACCCTTAGTTAACATTATATTTTTGTCATTACGTTAGAATTTTCTATATGGGAGCATGAAAGTCTACAGATTCGTATATTCTATTGGGATCTACCACTTTTTCACTTATTTATTTATTAAATTCTATACATTTTTCATAAAAATTTGAACCATTTTTTGAATTATTAAGATTTTATTTCTTTGAAATTCAAGCTTATAAATAATATTTCCACTTGTGTTTATTTATTTACTATTTGATTTTTATAAACATTTACAAAGTCTATTTTAAAATTTGAACAAATAGTTTGATTTAGCTAACAATTGTTTAAAAAGACGTACAAAGAAATGTTTTAGGCCTATTACTAAACGAAACCAAAAGTTTGATCCTTGCGGAGTAATAAGATTTTTAATTTACCTAGACATGTAACATATTAGTTTATTTACTTGCCTGTTTTGGACAAACAAAAGTTTCATTTCTCTAGAAGTTTCCAATGGAGATGACAGTTATGGAGACAGAAAGTAGAAAGTATAGAAGCCTACAATAGCAGGCAATTACGCAACTAGTCTAGTCTCATGTACAAAAGAAAGATTCTCTCCCGACCTAGAAAATGAAAACAAGGGTCTCTGTAATTGTCTTCCGAGTTGCATATACACCTTACCATACAGATAAAATAAAGAGTTACATTTTTGTGTTCAAAAGAAATGTGAAATCCGATGGAGTGATTGTAATTGAGCTTCCTTGAATGGACGTAATGGAGCCTAACCCTAAGGAGTAGGACGGAGTGAGTTGTAGTGAGTCTATTCGACTTTTGCCACTCCTACGCCAGGAATGCTGCTTTCAACTACCGTTTCTCTTACAAACCTGGAGTAATATCAACAAAAAAGGGAACCAGTTAAACCCCAATAATCTTTATTCCTATTAATCATATCCCCAAATTTATACGTACCTTGCTAACTTCTCCTTCGATGATTGCAATATGTAAATTGACAGAATAAAAGTCAGCAACAGACCTGTTGCACCACATATGTCAGACACCCTTCAAAACTATTCTTTTTCTAACTTATACTTCGCTCTCTAAATTTGCTTTCTTTCCAACACAATCTCTTCTCTAAAGCCTTTCCTTCTCTCTATAATATATCAATTTCTAAATTCTCTTTCCTTCGATCTCTCTGTCCTACTTTTCTCAAACTCCTACCTCTAAAATTTTCTTTATAACATTTAAATAAATTTATACGAAAAAAAATTATTAGAACAGTTTGAACATTATACGGAAAAAAAAATTCTAGAAATTATATTTCATTACCATAATAGAGTAGGTTAAACATCATTATTAGAAATGTTTGGTTTCCCACATAAAGGTCGGTTCCATTGCGTTCTTTTTTTTTTAGTTCATGATTTTCTATTTAAAAAACACAAACAATGTATATATATTTACAATCAGCAATAGAAAGATATGCATCACTTATTTAACTAGAAAACAAATCTGCATTTAAAGGGTGGCTTCTAAGGGTAGCTTGTTGAGAAACAAAATTTTGTTCCTAAGAACTTTGGTTTTTTCTAAAAATTTAAAACTTCCAGAATGTATGGAAAAAGTGAACTAAATAAATTATCACACATTGTTTTTAAGAAATGAAAAGGTAAAAATAAAGTTGCAGCCCAAAAACAGAAAGAAAACATTACCCAACATATTGTCTTTGTATTCCTAAAGTTAGGAATGGAATATGCTTGGTGTTGTTTTCTTAAAAAAATAGAAACGAAAAGAGAAAAAAAAAACGTTTTCAAACAAAGCCTCGAGGCTTTTGTTTTTTTCAAAATCCCAGTTTCCTTCTATTGACATTCACAAAGTTCTACTCAGAAGTAACTCCCTCGCTCTAGCTTATCTTTCTATATAGATTACCTTTCTTCATAATCTATAACTTTTATACATCGCTCTAAAAAAACAAAAAAAAAAAAAACAGTTTTTTATTTTCCAACACACAAACATCCAACATCTTCTCGCTTCCATTGCCCTCACACCTCCCTCTATTTTTTTTTTTCAGTATTCAATCTAATAAATTATAAAGATCAATATAATGAAAATTTTCAATAATTAAGCTAATAAAATATTTAAAAATTATATTCAATTTTTAGAATGCAAAATAAAATTAGAGTATGACCACTGGAAAAAAAAAAAAAAACCAAGGTTAAGTATATTTTTTGTCTCTGAACTTAGAAAAAATAACCATTTAGTCTATGCACTTACAAATTTGTAACAATTTAATGTGAAACTTAACAAATTATCTTCAGATTTGTAAATTAAGTCCCCTACCATCATTAAAATTAAAAGTTAATTTTTAGCAATATTTTCATTACACAATTTAAATCAGAGGGACCAATTGCTACATTTGTAAAGAATTAGTGGTTTCTGCTTTTAGAAAAACGAAAACAAAAAATATAGGACATTTAGTTTTTATTTTTGAAAAAGAAAAAAGAAAAAAGAAAAAAGAAATGAAGCTGAAATTTTAAAACTACGCGAGTAATGAGCTTATATATGTTGTATGGATTATGCATGTGAATTATTAAGATGCAGAAGAAGTAAAGTGGTCATCAGAAGAAATCCCTCGCTAGAAAAGGAAATAGCGCGGCAGCAGTTATCATAAAAGAATAAGTGTTTTTACCTGATCCGAACAAAACATATAATCCGGAAGTCACGTCAATCTCCGATTGCTCCTCCCTGGAATAAGCCAAGAACATAGGGTTAACAGAACGTTGCAGAAAAGCTTAATAATCCCAATCATATGCATTTTGTATTATATATATTACTTAATTTTTTTATTTCTCTTTGCATTCCACTTGCTGTCCACTGTTTTGTAATCCTTTCACAATCAATGTACCAAGCACAATCGACTGTTCGATTCCCGGTTGAGTCCTCATAAATCAAATCCTATGGACAAAACTACGTTGTGTTGTTTTATCTATCAATCATAAACGACAATGTCATCATCATTAATATTATTGTTTAAATAGTGATCTTACTAAGAAATTGGTTTACCACACTTGGATTTTGAACTATGCAAAGTATACGCTTGACTATCGGGGGTAAGAAAGAAATCAGAGAATATTTGCAGAAAAGACAGACCTACATAAAACTATTCGACAATATTGTTTACTAAGTTATATCTTGGTGTAAACTGTCTAATATTTTTACTACCTATAGTTATACCTCCTTCATTGCAAAATTGGGAAGGTCTTTTGTAAATACCACAGATTATACATCCCTTTTGTAAATTTCAATCATCAATGAAATTGTCTCTCAAAAAAAAAAAAAAAA